TGTGTGCTGAGGCATTATCTGTGGAAAAGCATTATCTCCTTCCAGTCATTCAGCATGCACCACCCCTGAGAGGCCTCACGCTCATTATCTCAGACCCCGAGCGAAAGGAGTCTCCAGAGGCCAGGAGGCCACTGTGTCCTGGAGCCCTCCACCTGGGAAAGAGCGGTAAAGGTGATCCAGGGCTCAGAGGAACCTGGTTCAAATCTCAGGTATGCTACATCTCAGTTCATGGAGTCACTCTGTTCTCTGAAAGATGGGCCTGATCTGTCCCTTTGTTAACATTTTTATGACATTAGCACTTTTATTACCTTAATTTATTGTGTATAAGTGTGAGGATGCATATGTGGAGGTGAGAGGTCAACTTGAAGGAGCTGGTTCCCTCCTTCTCTGTTGGTCCCAGAGCTCCATGGAAGAGTTGCCAGGCTCCACTTGACAGCAGTCACCTTCTGAGTTTTCTCATTGGCTTTGGTCTATTCTTTTTGGTTTGTTTTAGTTTGGACAGACAAGGTCTCACTATGTAGCGGTGGCTGGCCTTGAACTCACGGAGATCTGCCTGTCTAGGATCAAAAGCATGCTCCACAACCTCCAGCTCTGATATAGTCATGCTGCAGAGTTCTCAGTATAGCAGTGTTATCAGCTCAGCAAATGTCATTTTCCTTCTCTCCCCTCGTTTTACAGGACCAAATCCCCAGAAGTAGAGGCCAACAGGGCAGGGGGAATCACCCTCTTCACAGTAGAGACTCTGTGTCCACCTTTGACCTCACTGTGCTTGCAGATGGCCTGAGGTCATTGACCGACAGCCCCCATATCCCACTCGGGCCTGGGCGGGACTGTGACCTGCTTGCCTGGAGGGTACCTTACACTGTTCACCACTGCTCAAGCAGTGGAGAGCTCCAGCACCTGGCGTAGGGGCCCCAGCTTCAGAAGAGCGGCCTCCAGAGAAATGGCTGCCAAGGCCCATGGGCAGCAGGGCTCTCGGCCCACCATCCCCTCACAGAGCTGTGGAAAGTCACCAGGGAAGGACAGTGCAGCCTACTCTCCACCTGGTAAGCTGGGGTCTGTGTGGCAGGGAGGAAGCGGGGTGTGGCAGAAGTAAGTGGGTAGGTATCCTAACCAAGTCTCTCCAGCACAGCTGCTCCCAGCTGCTGGGGGTCCCTTCGCAGAAACCCTGAAAGTCCATGTAGGCATGCTTCCTCCAAGCAAGTGCACACTTGAGGTTTTTTTCTTCTTGTACATGTGTGGATTCATGCCTGGTGTGTGTGTATAGACAAGAAGGGTTACCCTCAAGTACCATCTGACTTTTTTTTTGAGAGAGAGTCACTTGGCTTGGAGCTCACTGTGTTAGCTACACTGGCTGGCCAGAGAACCCCAGAGATTATCTGTCTCTGCCTCCCTGGAGCTGGGTGTATCTCCAAATCTGGCTTTGTGTGTGGGGAGAGTATAGGAGATCTGATTCCAGTCTTCACGCATGCATACCAAGAACTTTACTCACCGGCTGACCACCCCAGCCCACCTCATTCTTTCTGGACTATAGGCAGGGAGAAAGTGAGCGCCAGTGTATTGTTTACTCGTGGAGTGAGCCTGATCCAAAGGTAGCCTGACCAGCTCACAGTGGAAAGCTTACCTATGGAGCTAAGGGTAATAAGGATAGCATTGCCAGGAGCAAGACTCTGAGTCCTTGTAATCATGGTGAAAAAGGAAACAAGGTCAGTTGTCTGATAGCGCCTCTCAGAAAGAAGAGAGTGTGCTACGTGTGTTTCCTTCCCTGAAGCTTTGTTTAACAGGTACTGGGTGTCTGAAGGCTGGAGTCATTTAAATTCAGCAGTAGACTAAGTCTGATTCACAGGACATTTTTTAAGTAAATAAATATTAATTGATTGATTGGTTGTGTGTGTGTGTGTGTGTGTGTGTGTGTGTGTGTGTACACGCATGTGCATGCCTGTGGAGTTCAGGGGCTGACTCGAGTCGGCAAGTATGGCAGCTTACCTCTGCTCCCTGCCTTCCACATGGGTCTCACATGGGTCTTCCACAAGCAAGCACTGTTAATTGCACATACAAATTTTGCACCAGGGAGTACCACGGGCTACACAGTGGGTTCGAGGCCAGCTTGAGATACGTGAAACCTTGTCTGAAAAAGTTTGCTTCAGTACAGGAATAGAAAGAGGTAACCTTATGCTATGGCAGGGCAGCAGTCAAGGTGCAAGGGGTTAGGGCAATACCCACTGGTTCCCAGTGTCTCCCAAGCCGCACCTTACAGTTCTGAGTGGTACACCATACTAGCTCACAATAAGGACTCTCAACCTTCAGTTCCAAGACCTCACGGTCTCTGTAAATAGACCATTTAGTGCAGACACTGTGTCTGTGTTGTCTATGCTGTGTCAGCCATGTTCTAGTGCTCCTGGGTACACAGGAGAACTGAGTAGCCAAGAGCCCTCACTGACAGAATCTTTGCATATGTGTTCATGCACGCATGTATGTGTGGATGAATGGGTACACGTATGTGCCAGAGGTCAATCTTGAGTATTGTCCCACAGGATGCCATCTACCTTGGTTTTGGAGGCAAGGTCTCTCACTGGCCGAGAGCTCACCATGCAAGCTGGCCAGTGGTCCCCATGCTTATAAAGCAAGCGCTTTCTCCTCAACTGGGCCATCTCCTCAACTTCCCTACAAAGGTTTTCAAAATCAAGCACTGTATGTAGGCTGTATGCCAGGGCCACCATAGTGCTCTCGACACTAGTTCTTGTCTGCCCAAGGCAGGGGCCAGCCCTGGCACTTTGCCTAGTCCTTGGAAAACTGTGTGGCACCTTGGGACATTATATCCTGAATGGATAGAGCACCTTTAAGTATGGCCACAGGAACTCTGAGATGTGCTGCTGGGCCATGTTCAGACAGTGATCCTTGGAAGAGGCTACAGAAGGTCTAGGCCCAGGAGCAGAGAGAATAGAGAGCTGGGGCAGGGAGAGGCATTGTGCAACAATGAAGGAAGCCCCTAGCCAAGAGAACCTTTAAGAACTCTGAGCTACGGGGAACATGAGAACCCTGGGCTGCTGGGAGCACAGGGAAACCACTGAGAGCTTCCTCATCCCACTGTACCTTTAAGGGAAAAAAAAAATCCGTTTCCTGTATGTGTGCACAAGCTTGCACAGTACACATATGGAGGTCAGAGGACAACTTTTAGAAGTTGGTTCTCTCGGTTCACATTGTGGGCCTCAGGGACTGAACTCAGGTTTAATGGGAAGTGCATTTACTCTCTGAGCCATCTTTTTTTTTTTTTTTTTTTGCTGTTGTTGGTTTTTTGTTTTGTTTTGTTTTGTTTTTTGAGACAGGGTTTCTCTGTGTTTCCCTGGCTGTCCTGGAACTCATTCTGTAGACCAGGCTGGCCTCGAACTCAGAGATCTGCCTGTCTCTGCCTCCTGGGATTAAAAGCTTGTACCACCACCACCTGGCTCTCCTGAACCATCTTGATGGTTCTCCCAGGATACTTTTAACGGGTGACTTAAGGCCATTTCTGAGGCCCAACCTCCTTATTTATGGTCTGTCCAAATCCTATCTCCCTGATCCCCTGGGCCTTCCTGGAGATTAGGATTCTCAGAATTCCTGAAAGTAACTTCAACTGAGGTATGGATTCCTGAAGGGAGGAGCTATGTCCTGATGATTGCTGCGAGTTCAAGTCTGGGCTATTTAGGCAGGCACCATTTCCAAAACAAAACAAAACTACGGGAGATGGCATAATTGGTAAAGCATTGCCACACAAGCTTGAAGATCTAAGTTCCAGCTGCCAGCACCTATGTAACAAGCCAGCACAGCATGCTTGTAATCCCAGTGCCCAGGGCTCGCCAGCCAGCCTCACCTAGCCAAACAAGTGAGCTCCAGTTCTGCAAGGGACACTGTCTCAAAAAATGAAGCAGAGAAGCAGTTAAGGAAAAGACCTGACATTGACCTGTGGCCCTCACACACATGCATGCTCACTGCATGTGTCCCCCACAACACATGCACACATACAAACACCTCAACAGGTCCCTCACTCCCCCACACAAACTGCAAAGCTCCTTATCAGAAGTTGATGGGGTATTTTTCCTTCTGGCCTCTGGGAATAGTCTAGAAAGAGTCTCATGGCTGGTGAGTCAGGAAAGCTACACTCCCACTTCCCATAAGCTGGGTTGAAGGCAATGCCAGCAGGGTCATCAACAGCAGGTAGGTAAGACCACAGCATAAAGTCTGAAATGCCATCTTTAGGCTGTGCCTAGTGTGTGGCTATGCAACAAAGACGGGGGCCCTGGGGTGGGGGACAGCATTAGGCAGTGTCCCAGGGCAGGGGACACCTTTTTCAGGGCAGAGTGGCATCTTGGAACTCTCACCAAGAGGTCTAGCTTAGCCAGTAATTCCCAGGGAGCCATGGTGGACCACCACAAAACCAATAGGTCTTGAAACCTGCAGACTTCTGAGGGCAGGTCAAAAGTCATCTCTAAGGGGGGAGAGAGGGTGCAGACGTGATCCGTCACCCCCATATTCAATTCTGGTCACAAGCCTGTGCACACTTGCTAGAGACAGGAGAGGCCTGCTTTCCACTTTCACTGCAGAAGAGGGAAGAAACCTACTCCCACTGGTCACCTTGGGCTCCGCCCACCTCTGCAACCCTAGTCTGCTGCCTAACTTACTACTTTGACCTTGACTTTGGAGTATTCTTCAAATTTGAAGTGTGGAAGGCGTGCAGAGGTCATCATGTCTTCCCACTCCCTGCTCCTCCTTGTCGGGGTGGTCGGTTCTGCCCACTGCCTGTGGGCAGACCAGGAAATGACAAGACAGCTTTGAGACTCCCTAGGGGAACAGAGGGGGATGGTGGCCGGTGGCTTCCTCCACATGTAGTGCAGGGTGGGGACCGCGGTTGAGGCTAGGAGGGCTGGCACGGCTGGATAAAAGGCAGAGAACTGGAGGTGGCCACTACCCGGCCAGGTCCGGCCCCATGGGCGGGCGGGGCGCTAGAAGAGGAGGAGCCTGGGGCCAAGCCACCGCCTCCCGCCCGCGACCTGCAGCTGCTGAGGCTCTCCAAGCGGCTGGCCGCCAAGGTAAGTGACCCTCTCCACGCTCGCGTGCCTTAGGCTGTGCACTGTCCCGGGGACCCCAGTCGCGCGCCGGCTCCGACGCACCCTGAGTGATTGCTACAGGTCAGGAAACCTCGTCCCCTAGGACCAAGCCAAGTGAGCCCGGTGGCAGAAGATCCCAGCGGGGTGGCCACAGGGGGAAAATAGGCGTCCAGAGCCCGTATTGCATTTGTCAGCCACCTTCCTTCCGGGCAGCCCTGAACTACCACGGGTCCCACGTGCTTTTCGTTTTTGCTCAGCGGGTTTCAGGGGAGGAAGTACCTAGTACCCAGTGGGCAGGTCTGCCCAGTGCCCGCCTCTGCCCGCGGAGCTGTAGCCTGGAAAGTACTTCCTCCTGCCTACTGAAGTCTGGGAGCAGGCTGCTGGCAGGAGCTTAGCGGTAACTTTGGTCACTCTAGCTAGATAAATGGAGGTTGTGTCTTAGGCTGCTTGGGTCAAGAGACAGCTTGTGCTGGTGGGGCTATGGGGTGAACGGAGGGAGGCACAGGGCACCAAGAAGTCTAACAGGTGTGCAGAGCCACCTCTAAAACAGCTTCCAGAAGTAGGGGTTCCTGAAGCGCCCTAGGGAGCTGTCTGCCCGGCAGGGTGCCGCTATCTAATTAGCAGCCAACATTTCTCAGGCACATATATGTGTGTCTGGCTGCTTGCAGGGGCTTTGGACACAAGTCCAGCTAATCCTGGCAGCCAGGGGACCCCATCCTTCACCCCTTTTATTCAGGGGAATGCCGAGACTTCCAGATCCCTGGTGTTTTACAAGGACACACAGGTTGTGAGTCATGGAAGTTGCAGACTTTCCCGGCAAAGGGGCCTTCTGGAAGGTGAGGCAGGCCAGATCCCAGAATGTCTGGGCAGCCCGATGAATGCAGTGCTGGGCGGGTACAATACCCACAAGATGGAAGGGCCTGCCCCTCTCGGGTCACTGCAGGGGCTGGTTGTGTGTAGACTGTGTCCATGCGGAGGCCAGGAGTGGATGCTGGGTGTCTTCCTTTATTGGTTTACACATTTTAAAAGATGGGACCACTCACTGGACCCGGAGCTCACCAACCAACTGGCTCATCTGTCTGGCCGGCAAACCCCGGGAATCCTCTCTCCGCCTCCCCAGAGCTGCCATTAAGAGTGCACTGGCTTTTCACCTGAGTTCTAGGCATCCAAACTCAGTTTCTGTGCTTGCATAGAAAACACTTCACTGCCTGAACCATCTCCCCAGACCCTGCAAGAGCTGTTAAAAACACAGATGCTCCAGTCCCCCTGGGCAGCCAGCTGAATCAGTGAGAAGCACGTGGAGGACCCAGCTGTCTGTCATCTGTCTGTCTGTCTGTTTATCTTACTCATCTCCATCATCAGTGGCCTGCAAAGTGGTTGGCAGGAAGCAAATGCTTCACCAGTGTCAGATGGATGGAGAGATGGAATGGGACAGGCAACGTCACTGGGGGAAGTGGTGGAGATGGGAAGGCTTTCCGAGGGAGGCCTTGGAATGGGATTGGCATGGGAGGCTACTGCCCTAGAGCCAGCTGGGAGCTCAGGCCGGCCCTGCTGGTCACCTAGAGTTTGAGCAGACTGCCCCAAGCTTGCTGAGGTCCCCTAGGCCTGATCAGGTTAAGCTTGTATCTCTCTAGCCTGAAGACGTTAGACAGGTGGATTCCTGGCCTGGCCTTGTCTCATGGTTCTTCCTTCCTTGGCCTTATCGGAGACAGTACTGGGCAGGGCTTCAGGGTGTTAAAAAGTGCAAGTTCTTGATCGAAGTCCAAAGTCACACACCTTCCCAGTGGGTGGGATGAGGCAGGTGACTGTGGGACAGACAGCCTGGTTTGTAAGCACTGAGTCTGAGTCTCAGCCAACCCTGGAGTCCTCTGGCTCTCTGAACTTGGTTCTTCAGTTAGTGAGCCTTGCCCAGGCCTTTCGGTGCCATATCCCCATAAAGCAGAGGGCGTGCTGCCCACAGGCATTAACTGTATAGAACTTGTTAAAGTATCAGGTCCTTCACTCTGCTCCTGAGGGTTTGAATAGTAATGATTTCTGTTTCTGCTGTGGTGTGTGTGTATATGTGTGTGCAGGTGTGCATGTGTGTGCTCACCTGAGCATGAAGACCAGAGGTAAACCTCGGCTGTCATTTCTCAGAAGCTATTCCTCTTGCGTCTCAAGACTGGCTCTCTCACTGCTATGGGACTTGATGGTTCAGCTTGGCTGGCTGGCTCATGAGCCCCAGGGATCTGCCTGATTCGTCTGCTGTCCCCAGCTCATGTGCACCACCAGGCTCGGCTTCTTTATATCCGTTCTGAGGATTAAGCTTAGGTCCTCACATTTACAAGGCAAGTAGTTATTTCCCTGTGTCAGATTTGAGCATCAATCTGATTGGACCTTCCAGGCTCATGCTTTCTGGTTCCTAGAGAAGACCACTGAGGCCCACAGTGGACTCTGAGTTCCCCATCTCTGTGACAGGGCTGGCCCCAGCAAGAACCCTTGCTGAGAGTCTGGGCACCTGCCTCCAACCCAGTCTGTGCTTCCTGCTGTCTGCAAACTGAAACCTTAATAGGCTGGGGCAGAGGTGGAAGGCCTTCTGGGACTTGGGTCCTCTGCCTTCCAACTGAAACTGGATCTGCCTCTTGCTGCCTTCCCTACCCTTCCAGAGTGCTGAGGACTTGCTGGGTTGGGCAGGCAGGAGCTGAGGAACCTTAAATACTCCATGAAATTCCTCTCTAGTACCTGGACCAGGAATGGGCTGCTGGATTTAAAAGGAGGAAGCTTGTCTGTTTAGAACCTACACTGGCTCCTTTCCTCCTTTATGAAGGAATGGGTGTATGCCTCCATTTCCTAGTCTGTGAAGGCATGTGCATGCCACCGTAGACATGTGGAAGTCAGAGGACAACTTGAGGGACCTTGAGGGTCTCCCTTCTGTCTTTACATGGCCATCAGGTCATTGGGCTTGTGCAGAAATCGTTTTACCCTCTGAGCTGTCTTAGAAGCCCAGTGCCTATTCCCTACTCCTGCCCCACCCATGAAATCCCATTCTAATCTGTGGGGTTGGGAAGGTTACGGGGGGACAGGCTCCTCAAGTGTTATGTACCTATCCAGTCAGGAAGTCACCTCTTCTGGTTGGCCTACCGAAACTGGGCCTACTCTCTGTCCCACTCAACATCTCACAGTGTACTTCAGCTCATCACTCTTCCCATCCTTGGCCTGCCACGTGCTGATGACATCCTGCCTGAAATGACAGTCCTCATTCCTGAGTGGTTAGCTTCCCACACACCCGAGCCTGGACCAAGCAATGGTGTTTTCCTCCCAGCCATGCACCTTTTCGAAGCACTGGTTAGGCCTCCAACCTCTTCTTACAACCCCAAACCTGAGACTCCTTACCACTCACTCTATGCTTGTCCAAATCCTGTTTCACTGATTATTCATTCGGCTAACATCTACAAAGCGCTAACTTGGTGCCGGGCACTCAGACCAGCAGAGTTGAGACTACTCTGTATTTCTGAATACAGGTAAGGAAAAGGCCTCTCTTCCATGTACCTGGCTCTCCGGGGGCACTGTTTTGGGTAGACTTCTGTCCAGTTGACTCTGCAGTGTAAGAGCCCTGTACCAGGAGCATTAACTGTCCCAAACAATACATCCTTGTCTGTCACTTCAGTTACCTACAGGAGCAATGGTGAATGTCACTGTAGTCAGGAGCCCGTTTGTCAGGTGTCTGCTCCATGCCAGCAGCCCAGTGTGTAGACATTATTTCCGTGCTGGGAACTAAACACAGGGCTAGAGCCTGCTGGGCAAGTCCCCTTGGGCTGAGCTGCTCCCCAGCTCCAGTTGCTTGTTTCTGAGCCTCCTCAGCTTTCAGTTTAGGAGATTAATCTGGACAAACGAGAAGACAGCCCCAAGAGTATCACACTAGCCCATGGCACCGACAGAGGACTATGAGGGTCAGTGAAGGGTGGAGCGGGCAGTCCCCGGTCGTGTGAAGACAGCAAGGCCCTTCTGGGGCTGGAGAGCAGGCTCTGGACAGTGGCCCCCCTTCCCGTACTGTAGGCACCTGATATCTGTGGGGTGGCCCTCTGGCTGTGGGGTAGTAGGTCTGTCATTCTTCCTGATAGGCTTACAGAGGTGGCAGGACCACAGCAGTGAAGCCGAGCAAACATGTTCTAGGTGGCTGTGATCCAGGTCCTCCTGGCGGAGTTGACCTGGACAGTGTGGGATGTGACAGGGAGCCTGGGCTAGGTTATTTGGGTGACCAGGCATGCCTGTGCAAGCATACTGGAAGGAGTGGTTGTGCCCCCAAAAGACTGAGCCACTGTAAAAGATGACTTCAGCCCCTATGGCTGGTGCTTAGAGAGATGGCCTCAGACTGGCCAGAGCTGGAAGGGAAGGAAAGCAGTATGAGCCTAGTTAAGGATCTTGATTGGGCTGGGGTGGCATTCTGAAAAGGCTTGCTCCTGGGGATCCAGGCTCTATGGCTGGAGGTGGAGACCATAATGCACCTCTGTTTTCAGGGTCTCCACGAGAAAAACTTCAGGGAAGCAGGTGGAATCCTAAGGAACTGGGAGAGTGTTAGCTCCTTTCCGCCCCACCCAGCAGGTGTTTTTTCCTGGGGAAGCGTTCTTTCCTCTTAGAGCAGCTACTGTAAGGGGACTTGAGGACCACCCAGAAACCTTAACTGGGACACAGTATGCTAAAGGCCCTGTACTGAGTCAGGAATTCTGTCCCAAACCCTGCTACCCATCTCTCTGGGTGATTCTGGGCTCACTGGCAATGGAGAGCTGCCCTTGAGCCCCACTGACTCTGAGTTCTTCCAACATCAAGAGAGCATAGCTCAGAGCGAGGGCTGTGGGGGACAGGCAATGTCTGTCCTCAGCTGATGCTGTCCAGGGATCATGTGGTGCCTCCAGCAAGAGAGCAGACCCAGACAATAGGCAGACACGTACAGACAATAGCACCTGAGGAACTTGTGTCTTTTAAGGGCTTCCATGGTCACTGAC